ACAAGAACAGACCTCAGGACCAATGGAATAGAATTGAAAACCCAGAAATGAACCTACAGACCTATAGCCATCTAATCCTCGATAATGGAGCCAAAAAAAAATAGAATAGAAGAAAGACAGCCTCTTCAGTAAACGGTGCTGGCAAAATTGGTTAACTACTTGTAGAAAACTAAAGCTGGATCCTTATATATCACCCTGCACCAGAATCAACTCCAAATGGATCAAAGACCTCGGAGTCAAAGCAGACACTCTGAAGACATTACAGAATGGAATAGGAGAAAGCCTAGGTCTCCTTGGAGCAGGCTGAAATTTTCTTAATAGAGACCTGGAAACACAACAACTCAAAGAAAGGTTGGACAAATGGGATTGCATGAAGTTGCAGAGCTTCTGCATGGCAAAAGACATATCTAGCAAGATCAATAGAAAGTCCATGGATTAAATGTATTTTATTTATTCACATATATTTATTTCCATTCCTCAGTTTGGATTTGTGTGAACTAGGGCAGAAACCAAGGGTGCTTTTGATATCTGCTCTCTGAATAACACCTCTAAGTTCAAACACCTGAAGAAAAATATGTTCAAACCTTCCAAAACATGATACAAAGTTTTAGTTAGTATTTTCTTTATATTTCCTGAAGTTATATAAGAACTTATTTTTCCACTCCTCTTTCAAAAGTTTAGACCATGGCAATGTAAAACAATAATATGATACTCAGTATCAAAATAAATTAATTTTCTGAGAACTAGATTAAAATGTTGCATGTTTTAACATGAGAATTGATGACAGTATTTAAAACAATACATTTGCTGAAAAAAAATTCCCTGACAAGAAATTGATAAATGTTTAAGGTACTGAACTCAGTTGTTTATTACATTATTTAGCATCCCCAAATATCATGTTGTATTTCAAATAAAATTATTCCATGGCAATCTAAAATTAATTTCAAAGACTATGTTTTTTAAAAAATAATTTTCAAAATGTTTTTCACAAGCTATTTTTCCTTACTTTTAAAAACCTATCCTGACACATCTAGAATGCCTTCATTATTGACTGACTGCAGAATTTTAGGACAGACTGGACCATACATGAGTACAGAGCAGTGTTCTTTGTAAGCCACAGAAGAGGCAGTGTCAGGTGTGTGCTGCTTGGGATGAGCAGGAGGACGGACAGTTAAGGTATGCAATTGACTCCAGAACCTATCTCCCAATGCTTTCCAGTGACCTTAAAAAGGGGGCTGTATGTGAGATGTTCTGTCAGCAGTTGCAAGCACCAGGATAAGCATCTGGGGCAGCCCAGGCTCTCACTTTTGCTTCCCTGGGAGGTTTTTGTTATGACTGGTGTCACAGGGGTAGGTAAATAATTACCCTGCTGACAGTAGTAAGTGGCAAAATCTTCAGGCTGCAGGCTGCTGATGCTGAGAGTGAACTCTGTGCCAGATCCACTTCCATTGAACCTCCATGGGACCCCAGATTGCCAAGTAGGTGCAAAATGCATCAGGAGCTTTGGAGCTTTCCTTGCTCTCTGCTGGTAAGAATGTAAATAATTGCTAATGATATGACTCGCTTTGCAAGTGCTGTGGAGTCTATCTCCCAGAGATGCAGGCAGGGATGGCAACTGGGTCAAGTGGACATCACAATGGCTACCTGACATTGGAAACACTAAAACAATTAGTAGTATTATCCAAGTACTTCCACGAAGCTTCAGGCTGCTCTGTTAATATGAGATGAGTAATCCCCAGCATTGTTCTTCCTTACCTGGGAGCCAGAGCAGCAGGAGCCCCAGGAGCTGAGCAGGGGCCTTCATGTCCAATCTATTTGCTGAGTGGAACCTTCTCCTGCATAGGGTGTGAGGAGCCTCTGAATAAGTTCTCAGGGCAGTGGTCTGTGCTCAGGGCACATGAAAAGCAGCAGGGTTGGAAAGATTTAAAAGATATGGCTATATAAGATATGGTGATCTTCATGAATTTCTGAGCTAGCAGTCTCCAAATATCTCAGATAACATTGCTGTCTCCTATCAATAGCCCCAAAAGCTCCCCTTTAAGATAAGATGTTCCCTAAACCAAGAACTCACATCTACTTCAGTCTCTTCTGCTTCATAAACCTTCATGTTCTTACACTATCATCTCTTCCAGTTCCTACATAACATTTTTTTTAGTAACTGTTCTAGAACTTGTGGTCCCAGCAGATTCAGATTTGATTACACGAAACACAGTAAAGGATGAGCAAGGCAATGAAGCCACAAGGAATGGAGAAGACATCCTTAGCATGGGAAACAAGGAAAAACTGCCACAGACAGTGAAGGCAGAGCACAGTGAGGAAGGCTCCCACATCAGGACCGGCATGTGGGGACACTGTCCACCCTAGTGCAGGATGTCACATCTGGGGAGCCACTAGCAGGACATTACCATGACAGTGAATCAACCTCTCATCATTGTGAGTCCTAGCTGCTGCAGGTACACAAAATAACACTGTTCCTCACAGCCAAGATGCTCACACATAGGGAAAGTCCCTGCCAAAGTCAGAGTTCTCTTCATCAACCTTCACTAAATGAACTGCATGGGGATCTGGATTTGAGAGATTCACCTACTTCGACCCTGGTTATGATGTATCTGGGGCCTGAAATCTCAGACTTCTGAAGCCAAAGGAAGCTATGATGAAACTGTAAAACTCATGCCTTTCTATATACCTGCATTTAATGAGAAAAACTTTGAAGGTGGACCTGTCTTTTGATACACATCCACTCCTGGTGCACACAACGTCCCCCCACAACTGGGTTTGAGACTAAGACATTTTAGGAATGGATATGTTTCAGGAGGAAAGAAGAGTGGATATGAGAGTGGAGATCAACCACTTCACAATTTGTGTAATAAGACTGCTATGCCCTGAGCCTCAGGTAGGAATCATAAACATAAAGATTCTTGTGTAGACCATACTAAAGCTACCAGCACATGTGTTTAATACAGCATTATTTACCATACCTAAAATACAGAACCAACCCAGATGCCCTTCAGTAGATGAATGGATCAAGAAAATGTGGTATACATACAAAATGGAATTCTATGCTTCCACCAGAAAGAATGATATTGCCCCATTTGTTAGGAAATGGAAAATCTTGGAAAAAAATATATCTGTGAAGCAAGCCAGGCCCAAAGAAACATAGGCCCCTTGGGTTCCCTTATTTGCAATAACTAGTATATATCTGAGACAAGCAGAAAAAGTCAGTGAAATGAACCCCACGACAGGGACACAAGTGGTTTTTTTCTTCCTTGCAATGGTTTCTAATGTATTTATAAGGTACCATGTAATTTTCTTGTAGCTTTGTAAGCCCCTTCCCCATGGTATAACCCCTGTTTTCACTGTATTTGATGTTGGTATATTTTAGGGAGCGAAAAGGAAAAAAAATGTTTAGGGCTGGGAAGGTAGCTCAATGGTAGAGTGCTTGCCTTGCATGCATGAGGCCCTGGGTTCGATTCCTCAGCACCACATAAGAAAGAAGAAAAAAAGCTGGAAGTGGCGCTGTAGCTCAAGTGGTAGAGTACTAGGCTTGAGCTGAAGAGCTGAGGGACAGCACCCAGGCTCAGAGTTCAGGCCCCACGACCGGACCCAAAAAATAAATTGTTTAAATTGGGATACAGGTTAACCCGTGAGATGTATATGACCTATGTTGAAAAACGAACTTTATAATTTAGGCGTGGAGTGGGGGAGGAGAGAGGGAAATGTAGTTCTGGAGATGGGAGGGCAGGGATGGTAGGGGAAAAACAAAGGAGGAGGCAACTATGCTTGATAAGAAATGTGCTCATTACATTGCTCATGTGATTGTAACCCCTCTGTACAGTATTTTCACAATAAAAAAAAGTTATTTTTAAAAAAGATCTGTTGTGTGCATAGAGTAAGAACCTGATCTGCACACAGGGATCTCAGTGGTCTGTGCATTGTCTGAGAGAAAATCCAGTACATCCTCAAGTCTCAGTGGAAGCCTTTGCTCATTGTCAGGCTTGTTTGCCATGTAATGGTAGGTTTTTGGAAGGGAAGAACCTATTCTTCTAACCTGTAAGAGGCAGGTGAGAAAGAGCCTCCATTAGAGGAGGACTAGAGGAAACAGACATGTAACATAGCCTTATGCAGAGTCACACTTCAATTTGTAGCTTTGTTAAAAAAAATGGGCCTGTGCCAATGAGACCCCTGTTTTCACTGTCTTTGATGTTGGTAAAATTTGGGGAGGAGAAGGGAAAAAAACAAATGGTTTAAGTAGGGATATAAGTGGACCCATTGCAACAATGAGATATACAATCGTTATGTCAAAAAATGAACTCTATAATTTTTGGGGGTTGAGGGGAAGATGGGAGGGCAGGGATGGGAAGGGGAAAAAAGGAAGGAGACAACAATGCTTGATAAGAAATGTTCACATTACCTTGCTCATGTAATTGTTAACTCCTCTGTATGGTATTTTCACAATTAAAAAGTAATACTAATGGGAATTTCAGAATCATAGGTTGATTAAGCAACAAGGTTTTAACATCAGAATCATATAATTAATTTGCTTTATATTTAACAAACATATTCTATTTATTTGGTGATATTCAGTAACATTCCTATTAAATAAAATCTTTCTCACTTTTAAGCCAAGCTTTGTGATTCATTCTTCAATTGCTAGCTACTAATGTTTCTTGAGTTATTCTGCAAGAGATTTTACTCTGTAATTCTCTTCAAACTATAGAAATGGCATGATGTTGGTAGATGTTTTTGTCTTTGTCTTTCACATTTGGGAATAAGTGATAAATTGATTTCTGCATTAACATTATAAATTCTGGTTCTGGGAGTCCCTTGAAGCTGAAGTAACCCAAGATCCCACTTGGACAAGGTCTCTGGTATGACATCTTCTGTCAAGTCCTCCAAACTCAGATTACTGCTTCAGTTCAGAGAATGGCTATGCTGTTCCCCAGACAAGCTTTGAAATAGGACTGCTGGGCCAAGCCCTACAGAGATGTTTTTGTTAAGGACTATATCTCTGTGGGAGGAGTATCTATAGCTTGCATGCAGTAATAAACCCCAATATCCTCAGCCTCCACCCTGCTGATTTGCAGTGTGAAATCTGTGTCTGACCCACTGCCACTGAATCTGCCTGGGACCCCAGAAGCTCGGTTGGAAGCCCAGTAGATTAGGAGTTTGGGAGACTGGCCAGGCTTCTGCAAGTACCAAAATAGAGCACTATCTCCATCGCTATGTAAGAGGCTCTGACTTGACCTGCAGGAGAGGGAGACCTTCTCTCCCAGGGTGACAGCCAGGGAGAGTGGAGTCTGAGTCATTATAATATCGCCTTTGGATCCTGAGATTAAAATAAATGAAAAGCACAAGGTTATATTGGTAATATAATTTTTTCTGTGGTTATATATTTATTCCTAATCGTTTCATGGTTTTTCCTTCTATCCTACCTTTCAATATTTCAAAAAATATACAAATATTAAAAAGCATAAATGAGTTTCAAGATCTCATGTATACTACCAACTACACAGTTGTCATAGTCGTCAACAAAGCTCAGGACCGGGTTCCATCCAGAATGTTCATCACTCTCATATAATTAACTTCACCTGCCCCATTCTAGAGGACAAGTTCTGTGCATCTAAACCATGAACAGAATACAAACAAAAAGCAGTGGCCCTGAGGGCTCCCCTTCAACCCCCTTTTTTTATCTTCTCCCTCTGCCCTTACCAGTAATCCATAGCATTAGGAGACCCAGAGCCCAAGAACAGAGCCTCATTTTAGCTGGCAATCCAGGAGATTTAATCAGTGAAGTCAAGGTCAAGATGAGTCTTTATGTCCAACTAGTGCCTGAAAGTCCTCCTTGGGGAGCACTATGCAAATCAGCAGGTGGGTGCAGCAGTGTGAGAAGAACAAAGTGGAGGACAAGGGCATCGCTCTGGTGCAGAAAGTGACTTAAATTTCTTCTGTGTTTGGAGAAAAGACCCACAAATACCAGGCTGGCTCCAGCAGTTTGTAGAAGGACCCTTCTCCCCTGATGCCTGGATCTGCAGGGAGTTGACCCTGTCTACTTAAAACACTAGAGGCCCAATTCAATTGAAATGTGTGTCCAGGAGAGTCTTGGTGAAGGGTCAATTTGATTGGCTCTCTTCTAGTTATTCTAGAGAAAATACTGTACAGAGACTTCATTTGCCATTGTCTCTCAAGACTTCTATCCAATATCACTGTGGTTTAAATTAGGTAAGGAAATCAAATACCTACTTCAGTTAATCTGATATCACTGAAGGAAAGTTAATTTAAGATTAGCAAGTTATCAACACCTGTTAGAGATATTCTTTATAAGCCAGACACTGGTGGCTCACGTCTATAATCCTAGCTATTCTGGAGGCTGAGTTCTGAGGACATGGTTCAAAGCCAGTCCAGGCAGAAAATTCTCCTTGTGACTCTTATCTCCAATTAATCATTCAGAAATTGTAAGTGGTGCTGTGGCTGAAAGTGGTAGAGTGTTAGCCTTGGGCAAAAGAGCTCAGGATCAGTGCCCAGGTCCTGAGTTCAATCCCTACAAGTGATTAAAAAAATAAGATTCTTCATAGAGGGCCTAATAAATTAAGTTCCTTATGATCACTTGTGTCAAAACAAAATAACCCAGAGGATAAAATCCTCCTTACAGAGGGTAAACTAATAACATTTCTAAATGAAAGAGAAAAATGTCAGAGAAAACTAAGTTTATTTATTTGTTTGTTTGTTTGTTTGTTTTGTGTCCGGTCGTGGGTCCTGATCTCTGGGCCTGGGTGCTGTCCCTCAGCTCTTCAGCTCAAGGCTAGTGCTCTACCACTTGAGCCACAGCAACACTTCCGGCTTTTTTTCTTTTGCTTATGTGGTACTGCGGAATCAAACCCAGGGCCTCATGCATGCAAGGCAAGCACTCTAGCACGAAGCCACTTCCCAGCCCCAGAAAACTAAATTTTACATAGGCATTTTCACAATCTGTAAATATGGGATGACGCTTATTCAGCATAACTCTTCACCAGACTAACAACAGCATTCTTAATATTCTTCTCTCTCTTCTATAAGACAGTATGTACAAGAACACCAGTGACATTCATTTAGGTAGTCAGACTATTGCAACATCTATTTTTAATCTTTCTACAGAGTCTGTTCCTAGAAAAGTTATTAACTCTGTATTATACCCTCCTTGTCATGCCTGGATTCCATGGGGGCAGCCACAGCCAGGACTCCACACCTCATAGCAGGACCCAGCAAGATCTGTTTTCATGTCTCAATATAACAAGTACTCAAGATTAAGTCTTCTCTTAAGCTTCATCAGGATCTACTCAGAAACTGAATGTTGGTTCAGAGTTTTACAGAGGAATTCATATTCCACTCAGCCTGAAGAACATACATTTCTGTTACTATTGGACACTGTTTGTGACATTTTCTTATAGGTTACACAAAAATTTTCTTCTATTAAAATTTATTATAGGGTTTTTTATTGTGATTAAGTGATTACATAAATTTCTCAAATTTCACAGGATTGTGATACTTATAGTCACAAAGTAAGTGATATTTATAGTCACAAACACATTCTAACATTCGTGGGGTGAATTATCTTTATCATGGTTTATAAAGTTTGTAAATTCTATGAGCTTTGACAATACAGTTATTCTTCCACATGGGGTGATATATACATTTCTTTCCTTTTGCTTAGTGTCAGCTTTTCCCTCTTTCCTGCTCATTCCCTCCCTCCCATTGCTTCCATTGAGTTGCTTTGTTCATTTTGATCAATGTCCAGTGTAGCTGATAGGTCCCACTCTTGTATGTTTTCCCATTTCCCTCAGTTTCTGTGTCTTCCTCCTAGTTTCCCTCTGATGTGCACTTATATACCATGTATGTGGTACTATATATTATTTTTAAATAAGTGTTTTATTGTGAAAATACCATACAGAGAGTTTACAATTACATGACCAAGTTAATGAGTACATTTCTTATCAAGCATTGTTGCCTCCTCCTTTCTTTCCTCTTCCCATCAATTCCTATCTCCCCTATTCCTGTTCCCTCGACCCCTGCCCTCACTACCCACCCCAAGCACCAAAGTTGTAAAGGTCATTTTTCGACATAACGTCTTGTACATCTCTTTAGTACAATGGGTCCATCTGTATCCCTATTTAAACAAATTGTTTTTTCCCTTCCCCTCTCCAAATTATACCAACATCAAATACAGTGAAATCATGGGTTATACCTTGGGGGAGGGACATACAAAGCAACAAAGAAATTATCTTATAAATATGTTATTTGTAAATTATTTCTTTTATTCCTTTCCAAACTCTTTCAGATACCATTACTGGAAGAAAGTTTCAAAGTGAAATTACAGCCAATCACATGGAAAGGGAGATGACTAACACAAGTAATTTCCCAATAGGTTGTAACTTCAATCCTGTAGATGAGTTATAAATGATATAGCTCAAAAGAAATACTGAAATCTTATCCTTTCATACCCCCCACCAAGGATGAGCAACCACCTCAGCCACAATTCCATTTCTGTCCTTTTGTTGGCTAACTGGAGGAAAGAGTCTCTTGCACTTTCCTTTCCTGGGCCGGCTTTGAACTGTGATCAGCAGATCTCAGCCTTCTGTGTAGGTAGGTTTTCAGGTATGAGCCACCTGCATTGGCCTCTTATAGCTACATCAGCCTTGTAGAATATCAGGATTTGAATGTATACCTCTCAAAACACAGTCCCTTGCCACACAACCAGGCATGGTAGGGTTTCATTCTCAGGATTGGAACATTGTGAAGTGGCTGATCAGTTCTGCTGGCCATTTGTCCTCAACTGCATACCAGGTGATGGTCTGCTCTTCTCAGGTGTGGTGCAGTAGTAGAGGCTCAATAGTGGTCATTGTTCTTGGCAAGTTGGATTCAGAGAAGCAGCAGAAAATATAAAAAGATAATAACTTTAAATGTTGCCATTCATTGGAGAAAAGCGCTTGATAAAATTCTCTCAAGTGACTAGGGATAGAAAAAAATATCACCTCAGCCCAATAAAAGATATGTGGCAAAACCATTGTCAACACCATACTAAATAGGGAAAAAGAAATTATGAAATTATTTCCTCAAAAATAAGAATATATAAGCATAACCAAGGAGATAAATCATCTGTACTATGAAAACTATAATAATAAAACTGAATAAATGAAATGCACAAACAAATATATAAATACATATACTTCTTTATTTTACCTACATAAACTTCTATATGCTATGTGAATCTAAAATAATGGCACAACCCTGACTCCCCCGAGTATGTAGATATGTCATTTACAAGTCAGGAGAGGCATTATAAAGTCTGTGCTGAGGGCTATATAGAGAAAAGAATGTTTGGATAAAAAGGATCTTCTCATTTGCTTACAGAAGAAAAAAAATACATGTACGTCTACAAAAAATACCAGTAATGCATCCCATTTAGTTGATGCTTTTCTGATTCTGATCCAAAAACTAAGCAGGCTTAAACCTTCAACTGCTAGGCAACATTCTTGAATTCAAGCTCACTGAGAATGGAACCTGAGTCCTGCTTCCTCACCATGGTTGAAGCAGCAGCAAGAAGAGAAGCAAGTCTGCAGCTACATGTCCAAACTACATGTGAATTCCTAAGGCTGATCCTGCTCAGGGAGAGCTGGTTTGGTGACGTAGTTTCCCTGCACTGCCATGGAAAGCACAGATATCTTGGGCTGGTGCATAAATTCATGGAATAGTTTTAAGAATCAATGTTCTGGAAGCCGGGAAGTCTAGAGTATCATCTGTTTTAGACTCTCTTCCTGACTGTTCACTTTCTTGTAATGTCCTCACAAGGACTTTGATGCCTGTGACAGAGACAGAGACAGAGCCATCCAGTGCCACATCTCCTCAAGACACTAGCACTACAGGACTTGCTACAGTCTCAGGACCTCACATCACCTCACTCACTGTTACAGACTTCTCCAAGGACACATATCTCAGGGGGATATGAATCAATCCTTGAAACATGGTCTTTGCTGATGAATAAGGCAGGAAATAGAGGCAAAGCCAAGCTTCCAGTCTCTAAATTCCAAAAACAGAAGACTTTCCCCCACAATTCAGCCTGCAGACAGCTCCTTCTGAGTGTCCCTGGTCCTAGTCAAATACACAAGCCTGGAGACTCTTTGTTAATGATAAAACACTCGCTCTAGTTTCCCTAGATTACTAATCTAGATAGCTTTTTTTTTTGGTGGGGGGGGGGTTCCAGTCATGGGGCCTGAACTCTGGGCCTGGGCGCTGTCCCTCTGCTCTTCAGCTCAAGGCTAGCGCTCTACCTCTTGAGCCACTGCG